CAAATACTCCGTCATTTTAATCGAAACTCGGAACAACAAGGCTAAATTATAAGCAGGGGCGGATTTAGGGGGAGGGGGGGGGGGGCAGACGCCTCTCCCCTCAGGGATTCGACCCCCCGCCGACTCAAAGGGTTCCCTCTTTGTACTATTTTGGCGAAGGACCCGAAAAATTTTCTAAAGGCGCCTTTGGCGCCATTATATACTAATCTGAGGGCGCCGAAAAAATGCATTTTTTCGTCATAATTTCCAAAAGTGCCTAAAAACGCCCTTTTTGGTCTGTTTTTTTTTCAAAATTTTGCCTGCGGCACAGAAAATTTGGCAAAAACAGGGGCTCTTTTTCCTTTCTTCTCCCCACCTGCAAATTTTTTAGAGTGAATTTTCTGTTCACATTGTCAGATTGTTATCAAATTAAGCATACGGACTAATTAGGTTACGACAAACATATTTGGTCTTCATACTCAACTTTGTAAATCCACTCGTTACTTATGTGAGGTGAGGAAATCGATGCTTATGTGAGGAGCGGGGGGGGGGGGAGGAAAAAGAGCCAAAACATGGAATTTTTATCCCTTTGGGAGAGCCCAAAAAATCAATTTAGTCGACCTAAAAAAAAGCCGACAAAAATTTTGAAAACTTTGTGAAAACAACCCGCCCACCCCCCTCGAGAAAATCCTAGATCCGCCCCTCATTATAAGGCATCTAAAGTATTTTTTGGTGAAAAAACTATTAAATAAAAAAAATAAAAAAAATTTCATGTTGTTGCAAATATGTTCTTATGTTTTTCTTTTGAACGTTATTCGGATCAATAAGGTCGCCTCAATTCATTTGGAATGATTTTTGAGCTTTACTGAAATTACCGCTTTCGCTACGCCCTAATAGGTTTATGGTAAGCAGCTCCTTTTACTTATCGGAAAAACAAAAATGATCATATCAATAAAAAATAGCCACTGTCAAGACCATTTTCGGAAGTTGTTTGATGATGACACCCTCACGGGCTACAAAAATAACAAAACTTAAAAAAACATAAAAAAATGGTTTACAAAAACTATTTAATGTTTCAAATTCATATCTTTTGCAATAAAAAATTCTGGACAGATCCGTGATTTCAAGTTGTAGCACATCCAATTAACCACTATTTTTTTGTTATACCAGTTTGATATTTCAATTCATCTTGGAAAGAATCAATTTTGAGCTGCTCTGAGTCAGTCTTGCGCGCTGCTTACTTTTTGGGCTTAGAAAGCCTGAATAACTCTCTCATCAGTAGTGCAAGATCCAAGGACTTCATAGTTGTGCTTTTAAGGTCTTGAAACGTAGTTTTATGCAATCTTCAGGACTTTTCCAACTGTAGTCTCGCTATAAAAAATAATTTATTCTTTTTAACTTTGTTTATGAAACACTAAATGCGATAAACGCTTTTTTTTTCTCGAAAAATGGCGCCTCTTTTAGTGAACACCCTAGTGGAACCTGATCTAAAATAGACCTTCTAGAATATCAATTAAATGAATCTACAGTTCCCTGTCTCCCTTTAAGTATGATTCTCATAGCTTTTAACATTTCACATACACAAAACATTAAAGGACACTCTGGATCAGAGAAAACATATTCAAATTTTATACAAAATTTCTATTTCCCAAATGCACCGATTTGAATAAAAGTACTATGCAATGATTGTATAGTATGTCAGCTAAATAAACCTTACCCAAATCAAAAACAAATAGCACAAAAACAAGATTTTAAAGGACACAGTTTATATTTTAACCACCGTATATCATTTGACACAAAAGGACCAATTTCACCATCCTCTGAAGGAAGTTCATACATTATGGTAATTGTTGACGCTTTTACACACTATGTAGCACTCAACCCAGTACCACATTGTAACGCTTACTATGCTTACACAACACTTTACGAACACTGGATAGCCAAGTTCGGATT